ACTTTTATTTCATAATGGTTCCTTTAAGGAACAGGTACCCAACAAAGTATTCAAGTATGGTACTCCAAACCCAGGACTATAAGGTTTGCACTCAGTTTTGCAAAAACAGAGCGGGGAAAGCCGTGTTCACTCGTGAAGTCTGGCTCTTCCCTCTGCAGCAGCGAGTGACGTCGGTCTTCAACCTGGCCCAAACCTCGACCCTCTGAAGCCCTCAGTCGCAAAACACTACAGTGGGCGCTGCCTTGCGGAGACCTGCGAAGTGTCCCTCCACATCGGAAGGACGGCACCAAAGCTCCTTGCAGGCAACCCATCTGCAGCTCAGAAAAGGCTGCTTTAAGATGGTATGTTGTAGACCTTGAAGCACGCAACTGGCCGGCCGATATACAACTCCTCAAAGTTGATCTCTGAGACCCCAATATCCTTTAATTAAGGAATATACCTTAAATCATATAAGGGATCCTACTATAATTAAAGGCATATTCCTTAATTAGAAGAAAAGCCGCTTGCACGGCCAGACGTGCAGGCCCTCACCTCCGAAGCCCCACCCCCTCACTAGGAAACATTGTCTTCCTCGAGTAAACCCGAAGCCCAAATAGTATATGGGAGTTTCCGAAAATAGGGGTCCTTATTTTGGGGTCCTTATAATAAGCATCCTACTATTTAGGGTACTATATTAGGGTACCCACCCGAAGCCATCGACCCCAAAGCTGATCCTAAACACTGCGTCAGGATTCTCAAATCACATCTTGGAAGCCCCAAAGCCCCAAAGCCTAAAGTCTGCACCCTCGTATTCTTCAATCGAAAGCCCTGGGCAACTCTGGCCTCAAGCTCCGCTAGCTGTGGCAGACCTGGAATTAATCATTATAGAATTGGGTTCCTGTAAAAGGTTCCCAAAAAGGTCACTTAAGGGATATTCTGGGGTGGATTAACTAGTATAGGGGCCCTAATAATTAGAATAGGGTTTTGGGACCCATTATACTATATATATATATATATAAGGGACACCCAACATGTTATTGGTGGTAATTGCGGCTCCTATACTAATGGCTCGTAAGGCTGTCCAGTATTTCGCATTTCAGGCTGCACATCCCACTTTGGGGGCCACCGGTGATTACTGATGCTGTCGGACAGAATGTGCATGTATCACAGAATCGAACTATGATGCCACCAAACAGGCCAAATCGACTCTTCCGTGAACTTGCTCCAGCCCGAACCTCTGCAAAGGCCCCTCAAGACTGCTCCACCTGCCGATATGGTAGAATCAAGCCTTCGAAGGGGACACCCCGCAACAAGGACGGATGCAAATTTAGCCTAACGCTACAACGAAACTTCTCGGATGTGCCAAGTACAAAGTGCTACGATTGGTCCTCTCTTCATCCAAGCTGCCCTTTCCACGCAACTCTACGGCAGCTGTGGCGAAGTGCGCGCAGGTCTGCAGGCCAAAACTTGCATTACATCTGTTGATTTCACTACATGACATTACCTTGCATTACGTTTCGTTCTGTCATATTTTACTTTATTCTACTAAGGTGAACTGTATCATTCTGTAGTTTGTTAAGTCACATTGTGTTATGTTGTGCTATCTTGTACTATATTATCGCGTTGTATGATTTGTGGGGTTGTGCTCTGCGAACTTCTATTCTGCTGTATTCTCTTATGTTCAGTTCGATTATAGTACACTATCTTACAGTATAGTACATTAGGTTCGACTATCCCATATTACGTTATACTATAGTATACCTGTTCTTGTATTATATCATACTGTACTAACTATGCTGTACCAAAGCATATCATGTTGTTATGTTATATTGTGTCATAATATGTGAAACTATGAGATTACCATACAGTACATAATGCTATACCATGTTAAGTCATAGTTTCAATTCCGGGCATAAAGACTACACTATACTGTAACATATTGTGTTATCTCATACTAACAAGCAGTGTAGCAGATTCTCTTATGCGAGTATGTAATCGATAAACTAATCGATGCTAAAAGTACAAGAAATTAAGTTAAATAGTACGTGTATGTGGGTATGCGGTTATTTATGTACAAATGTGTAAAAACCTTACCGTATTATATTGCATTGCATTAAAATATGGTGTATAACCTCAGAAATTACATTGCATCGATACACGCACATATTTTAATACGTTCATGCATACTTACTCACCCACGTAACTACATACCTGCATGCCTATGTACTTACATACGTACACACATATGTATGTGTGCATAAAACTTACTATAAATAAATACATATATATATATATATATACATATACACACATATATATTACATAAATGTAAATGACATGCAGGCAGACAGACAGACCGACGGACAGACATACAGACAGACGGACGGACAGACGGACGGACAGACGGACGGACAGACGGACAGACGGACAGACCGACAGACGGACACACGGACAGACGGACAAAACTTCAACGACAAGCCACAACACAAGGTAGCGAGAGTGTTTTTGCAGACAAAGAAGAGAGTCTGTCGAACCTGGTTGACGGACCCAACTCCCTCTGCCAACTGCAGCTGCTTGACCTGAAGATTGAATGTTTGGGATTACACGTTTCCATTTGTCGGGGTTATGTTGGATTGCTTTCTAGGTTCTATGTGATACGGTCCTGTGGGCTTGTGAAAAAGCTGAGATGAAAGCCGACATACCCGCAACTTCGACAGCTTCGCGATTAATGTCACTTTACGCTAAAGTATCCGCTATAGGTCAGTCGAGTTCGAAAGTGTCGAAAATTAAGACGTGCTGCAAAGAGGAGCAAGACTCAAATGCCAGAAGTCAAAGACCCCCACGCCCAAGCTTCGGTGCATCCCAACGCGGTAAGAGCACGAAAACTTCGAAAAGCAACTGGGCTTTTAAACTCAGAAGCCAGGAATCAGCCAATGGTCTCCGAGGCCGCAGCCATCATGCCGGTACAAAGGTGTCTAAAAGACATCTCCTTGGGCTCCCATCCTGCAACAGAGATGCGGGGGACTTCAGTCTTAGGGGATCGGGACTGAGGGATTAGGGCGTGGGGTCGTGGAGTTAAGAGGTTTTGGCATCATAAACCCTATAACCTGTAAAAGCGCAAAAGCCCCATAAACCTCTAACAGCCCAACAGACCGATAAGCCCAAAAGCCCTGAACCCATTAAAGGTCGAGGACCTCTGGGCTTACTTGGAGGTTCATGGTCAGTTATAAGGGTTCCTTTAAGGGTTCCTTTAAAGGGATCTCTAGGGATTCTATAAGGGTATAGGGATTAGGGTTCATGGTTAGTTATAAGTACAGTTATAATTAGGATACGCAAAAACTCATAACCCATATTAGGGCACTTATAACCCCTACTTATAACTACCCCTGAACCTCCAAGTAGGGCTTGACGTGGCAGAAAATTCGGACTGTGGAGTCAGGGCTTCAGGGCAAAGGCTCTGAGATGAAACGCTCGGTGGAGCGCGTGCTTCGTGGCTTGGGGCCGCCCAGGGTCTAGAGTGAACAGGGTTTAGGGCTTAGGGGTTACGGTAGTGTATAGGGTTTAGGGTTTAGGGGTTAGGGCAGTGTACAAGGTTTAGGGTTTAGGGTGGTGTTTAGGGTTTAGGGGTTCGGGTGGTGTATAGGATTTTGGGGGTAAGGGCGTAGGGATGTAGGAATCAGCGATTCCAAGCAAAGGTGTTGACATCGTGGTTCAAGGCTGCTAGGGCAGGGCGATCTTGGATGATCTTGGCTTAGCGATATGTACACATTGCTGAACAAAGCCGTTTCGATGAACAACGCGAACTGCTGCTTGCATTGTTCGGAATCGTGGTGCAAGGTCTGCTCGGACGCCTCTTCGATGCCTCTCTGCGCCAACCACGCTTGGAAATAGGGCAGGGCACGTAACGGGTTTGCAACATGCAAACTGCAAGGAGCATCTGCAGAAAGCACATAGGGCCAGAGCGCAGAATGCGAGTTCCCGCAAGCGAAACTAGGCTTTCAAGATCTTCTCGACACGCACCGGAAGCCCGCAACAAGAAACCCAAACCCAACCCAGAACACACTGACATCCGAAGCATCCAAAACGTTGCCATGAAGCCAAGCCTTCTATCGCGCCATAGGTCTCCTGTCAGAGTGGCGAGTTGTGCATAAGAGCGAAGTGTGGTTGAGGTGAACAGCTCCCCAGGCTGCAGCGCGAGCAGCCTGCCCTAAACTTTAAACTTTAAACATCTTTAAATCATGAACCCCACGCCTCTCTGCATGACTCTACAGTACTTCTAGATTCATGGATAGTTCTACATCGCGGTTTCTTTTGGAGCGAACTTGAGGGGTCCTGTGAACTTCTCCTTGGGTGTTCAAGGTCTTCGGGCTGCGCAGCAGTGCGAAGCTCTAGGCTTTTGGCGTTTAGTACCTGCGTGTTTGCCTCTGGCGGATTGTCGCACTTGCAGGCATGGGGGCCTCTATCTGGAGGTCAGGGTGCAGGGGGCTTCTGTCAGAGCGGGAAAAATCCAAACAGAATTGATCGTGTCGCACCAGACTTGAGCCTCGACATGTGGGGGGTGGGTTCTGCTGGAGCTGGAAGACTACGATCCGATTCGTTACGATTGTTTTGCGGGTCCTCTAGCAAAGCTGACTGAAAGTATCGTGTGAGCAAGCTGAGAGTTACTCCCTGAGACTTGCCTGCCATGATTGTCGCAAGGGCAGCCTCGCAATGCTGAGGCCTTGCTTGCCGGACCACAGTTCGGGCGGCAGTTACACTCTGCACCCGTTTCTCACGGGCACAGAAACCGAGCAACGCAGCAACCTGCATCTCCAAGAAATAAGTGTCCTTGTCACAGCCAACTCGCTTCGCGTCCTCTGCCAATGCGAGGATGCGCTCCACCTTTCGCCCTCTATAGGCACCCATAGCTAGCCTGTATAGTGGATAGCCGTTGTTGATATGTTTGACTGGGCCATCTGCTCCATGCAGAAATCAGCGACAGCCGGGGCTCCAGCGATCATGCAAGCTTTCAGAGCCGAGCCTCAAGTCACCTCACCAATCTGGAAGCCGTTGTCGGTCATAAGCTGCAGGAACTCACCAACTCCAGTTACATTGCCGGCCTCCGCCATTGAGTTTATCATCTCACTGAACAGGAGGTATAGTAACCGAGGGTCACCCGAAACCGCTACTTTGTCCCGAGCTTCTTCGAAAAGGGCGTAGGCATGTTCATACTGCCCAAGCATGGAGAAAAGCCTTATGGCACAGTTGTACGTGATCGAGTTCTTGGGCAGGCCCTTCTCACACATGTCCCAGAAGATGCGCCGCCCATCTGCATACCGACCACACCGAAAGGCGGCATGCATCATCGCGTTGCACAGAGGCGTCTTCAGCCGAGAAGAGGAATCCCAAGCGGCTTTGGCCCTGTACCAGTCTAGCTTGCCTGCTGCAGTAGAGATCATGCTCAACAACTCGATATCTGCCTTGGAAAGATTGTGGTCGTCCCAGCCAATTTCTGCCACTGGCATGCGACGCAGTAGCCCCTCTTTTCGTGCTTCATCTTCCATGTACTTGTTCACACCTCGGCGGCCTGCGAAGACGATCTCTTGCTGCATCTGCAGCCGGGCAAGCATGACAGCTGCAAGCATCCATATTACGCGATGCCTGCGGCTCCAAACAATCTGCTGCATAAGGACAAAACCCATGTTGTGCACCAGGAGCCAAACACTGCAGGCTCCCCCCGTTTCTGCGCCATGGACCTCCACGAACTGCACGACCTCTCTGTACATACTTATCTCTAGCGCACAGCTCGAAAGCGCCAGCATTCCGGATGCTGGTCACTTTTCACTGAACATACTGCTGCGCTGCACAGGTGTGCCATGTTGAGTTTACACTTGGCTCCAAGATCACTCTGCGCTAGCTCTGGCTGCAACTGCTGCATGCTGTCAGTATGATGTTGACCCCTAAACCCTAAACCCTTAACCGTAAACCCTAAACCCTAAATGGCTGCTACACACTCACTGGGCCTCAAGGAATCTCGAGCAGTCCGCGCGGCTGAGATCTCCAAGAACCTGAGGGCAGCTCCGGCTTCTCTCGGGCTTGCTCCAAGACTGTTGGTGATGAGAGCTTCATGAGAGCTTCGGGTTTAGGATTTGGGACTTTGGGTTAGGGTAACTTAAGAGCTTCGGGTTTAGGATTTGGGACTTTGGGTTAGGGTAAGTTAAGAGCTTAGGGTTTAGTTAGGATTTGGGAATCTGATTGGTTCAGAGTAAGTTAACGGCCGAGGTGTCGAGCTCGAAGACTTTGGTTGAGTTGGGTTTTCGATGGGACGTTGGCTGTTTACAAGTACCCAGGACTCAAGACTGCAGTGAAAACAGCGAGTTCGAGGTGATGTGCAGCTTCTTGAAGAGCCACAGAGAGAACAAAATGAACAAAAATGTTGTTACCGTCGCGGATATCAGGTGAGTCGCAAGCTTAAGCACATCAAACATTAATTAGGGAATCTTTGTCGCCCGAACAGCAAGACCTCAGCATGGAGCAATTGCACGATGAAAGCGATGCTGCTCGCCGAAGGAACAGGCTTAAATCCCTTCCTACACAGAGCTCTTTGCTTCCACGCTGCTGACTGACCCCGGCGTGCTTCGTTGCTTTGCACGGCCGCAGCGCCTTGGGAAAGGTGGGAGTTTCCGAAACTAGGGGACCCTAGTATAGTACCTCAAATAGTAGGATCCTTATTATAAGGACCCCAAAATAAGGTACCCCTAATTTTCGCAAACTCTCAAACCCTAAACCTATGAACCCTTAGAGACCTCTTTAAGGAACCCTTAAAGGAGCCCTAATTTTCGGAAACTCCCAGGTCGGGGCCAGAACCCCGAAACAGTTCTCCGACGGCGACGTAGTCGGCGACGACGGTGCCGACCAAGACCACAAAAAACGCGAGAAAAACTTGAACCGCGAGGGTTCCTCTAAAGGGGTTTAGGGTTTAGGGTTTAGGGTTTAGGGGGTCTATAAGGGTTGCAATAAGGGATCTATAAGGGTACTACAATAATGTAGGAACCTGATGAAGAAACCCTGGGTCTATGACCCTCAAATATTAGGGTTCATACAAGGAACCCGAAAAAAAGGCCCAAGGTTTCTCAATCAGGTTTCCACATTATTGCCAAACTACGACGCCGATGACTGCAACCAAGTATTACTATGACGACAGACAGCGACCACGACGATAACGAAGAAAGCCTCACTAGGGCGGCTCTCAGTGACGGGAAATCAGGAGCACAGGATGCGAAGCCCGTCCGGTTTCCTTATTAGGCTAACTTATATTAAATCCTGTAACAAGAACCCTGCCAAGCCTCACACTAATTGCCGACCCCTTAAGGCGAGAATGCTCACGTGCCTAGCCAGAGCTCCTCCACACACCTCCCTGAAGGTTTCGGACTTCTGGAACTAAAGGCAAGACATGACGAAGTTGTTGGGAAGGTGCGCCGGCGGAAAAGCTGCAAAATTAGCCAGCATGTCGATTCTTTCGTTCGCCATCTTGCTGCCGAGACGCCTGCGGCCAGTACGGCAGCCAGCCAGGCCGCGCGCATGTTGGGCTGGTGAGCCCAGGCGGCTGCAGATAGAGGGCTGCCCCGGGCACAGGTGACGACGACGACGACCTACCGTTACCGTAATTCGTGATACAACGCCCCTCGCTGCGGCTATCTATGAAAGAGGGGTTGAACCTGCACCGAGCAAAGGCTTCTGCAATCGAGTTACTGTAGGAACCCAGGCATGCGCTGAAACTAGCGTCAATCTCCTGTCATGTGCGGCTGCTAAGCTTGGGATTGTCCTGGAGCGTCTCCAAACTAAACCTTACTAAAGCTTTGCAACAGCATGAAGCAACGGGTTCAAGCGGATGCACTATGTGTTATGCACGATGTGGGAGCTTCCCAACATTAGGGGTAGCTTATTTGGGGGTCCTTATAATAAGGATCCTACAATTTTGGGTGCTATAGTAGGGTCCCCCATTTTCGGAAACTCCCATGTGTTATGACGGCTCACCCCAACCCTTGAAGGCCTCGGAGTCTTGGATGCCACGTGAAGACAAGACGTCTCCGAGTTCCCGGTGTCGATGGTTTAGGGTTGAAGATTGTAGGGATGACAATAAGGCTACTAATAACAAAGGTAAGGATACTGCCACTTGTTGTTATCAACTATGACTGTAAAAATTACAATAATAGCAATAACAGTGACAACAGTATTAGTAGTGATAATAGTGATAACAATAACAAAAGTTAAAAAGCAATAATAGTAGTAATTCGACTATTCATAGTGATAATAATAACAAAAAACCCAAACATGAGACAGAGCCTGTAACTGGCGTGATTGAAACTTTTTGCCAGGAGGGCTAGCGCCTTCCACGGCCACGGCCACCTTGGAGTTATGATGCAGTAGGGATTCGGGCTTAGGGTTTAGGGCTTAGGGTTTAGAGTTTAGGGTTTCGGGTTTAGAGTTTAGGGTTTAGAGTTTTGGGGCTTAGGGTTTCGGGTTTAGGGCTGAGGGGTTAGGGTTTAGGGTTTAGGGCTTGTGGCTTAGGGTTTACCGGTGGGGGCTGTCGTGTGGGACCATCGTAGCTTGCTGATGTTGTCTGCACTTTCCTGCAATGCCTGGAAAGTCCGAGCCGCCACCACATATGCAGCATAATGTAGTAATAATAGTAACAATAGTAATAGTAATAGTAATAGTAGTAGTAATAGTAATAGTAATAGTAATAGTAATAGTAATAGTAATAGTAATAGTAATAGTAATAGTAATAGTAATAGTAATAGTAATAGTAATAGTAATAGTAATAGTAATAACAATAGTAATAGTAATAGTAACAATAGTACAATGCAAGAAGTGTGAGGTCGGAAGTTGATCCTTCATTACCCTGAACCTCAAACCAATCTGCAGAGCCAAATCGAGCAAACAGCTCAGAGCCCAACGACCACGGACGGCCTTCAAGCCAGTCACCTAAGCTCAGAACAAATCCGCCCTCTAGTGCCGAAGAAGGCTGATTTACTGTGGGCTTGCGGTTGGGTTCAGGGCCAACGAATCTGAATTGGTCTTCCAAAGACAGATCACATTGAGAGCACTGGGTGTTTATGCTGCCGCTGCTGCCTATCCCTGTATTTGAAGCTCGTTTGCTGAGCAGTTTCTGCTCAAGATTTAACCCCAAACCCTAAACCCTGAACAAGACCCCTAACCGATGGAGGCAGCTGGACTTTGCGAAAGTACTCAGATCCCTGCATGAGCCTCTGAGGGCCACTTCCCAATTCATTTGCGTTCTCGCCCCAAGGGCCACTTCTCCGCTCATTTCTCTTTCTCTCCAGAGTCGGTTTGGGGTGCAGTGCCACGACTAGGGCATGTTGAGTTTCGGCATGCCTTTGTCCTGACCTGCTGCTTGCAGTGTGGAGACTACCCAAAACGCCTCACATCAAGCGTAACTCGCCTGCATCCTTTGCCGAAGCCTGACGTCCAAACGCAACTCCCTGACAGTCAGTGCGACTGAATGACGAGTTCAGCTTCGCGAGCAGTTTCTGCACACAGCCTTGGGCATGGAGGGCTATGAGTTATGAGCTTGGTAGTTTCAGGTCGGCAGCGACTACGGCTCTCGTCCGGCCGAAACTTGTGCAAGACTAGATGGCTAGTAGTAGGTGTTGCGCTGAAGTCTTTGAAAAACGCTCCTCTGATCCAGTCGCAGCTCCGACTAGAACCTCCTGATGACTCGAGCTGGGCCGCTGTTGAAGCTCGGAAAGTTTGCTGGTCGGACCTGGGCACGGGTGCTGCAGTATCAGGCCCCATGCGGAAGGACTGGCAGCAGATGCTTCAGAGTGAACGGGTGAGCTTGCAGCACACATGAAGTTCGTGCGCTTCTTTAACTTGCTGCGGCCAGTCGTTTCTGGACTGTTTCAAGCCAAACCCGAGAACCTCAAAGCCAGATAATGGCACCCCAGAGGTCACGTGCTGCCTCTAAGTCTTGAGATGTCATGCCTTGACTTCATTATGCGCCCGGCACTCAAGCTTGCGCTTTTGTAGTTTGCAGAAAGAGACAGCATTTAACCGAAGTGGGGAATCAGTGCTTCTGTATGTTTCTTAAACTGGACCTCCGACCTTGGGCTGTCCGGCTTGCGGATTTCGGGTGAAGCGGGGAGTGCACAGCACTTTGCGGTTTCAAGATGCCGCCGTGTAATAGGCTCCTCCACTCCGGGTTCTACCCGACATATAGCAAAGGGCTTGCAAGATCTATGTTCCTCTAGGCATGCGTGGGAAGGATCGGAGTCATCCGGCTTGTACATGTGTGAGACATGCCTTCCCAGCCCTGCACCCTGAAGTCCGACAACGAAAGATGCTAAACCCCAAAACCCAAGCCCCAAAAAACACCAAACAACACTTCCGACTTATAGGTGCCTAGTTAATTAAGGAATATTCCTTAAATCATATCAGAGATCCTACTATAATCTAAGGCATACTCGGCATACTCCTTTTCTCAGAGTCTCAGGGGGCGGGTGACTGAGCGTTCCGGCCTTGAGCCGCGGCGTCCGCATAGCCACTACCGGCGACCGCCTCCTTCGCCTTTCGGTGGACTTGCTCTGGGTTCTACTTGGGTAGTTATAAGGGTTCCTTTCAGGGTCCCTTTAAAGGGGTCTGTAGGGTTTCTATACGGGTATAGGGTTTAGGGTTTAGGGTTCAGGGGTACGTAGTTATAAGTAGGGTCAAAAGTCCCCTAATATGGGTTAATAAGTATGGTTATCCGTATTTTAACCCTACTTATAACTACCAATGAACTTGCAAGCGGGTTAGCCAA